GGTGTTTACAGTTTTACAGCATTAATACGTAATGCAAATGTTCGATATAGGTTTGATTATTTTATATATATATACAGCGTGCGTGCTCCTATTCTTTCACAGGTATCCCCCCAGCAGTAAACACGGAAGTCCTGGCCCGTCCGCCGGCGTGAAAGGAGCTCGTGTCTGCAGGAATGCGCCTGGGCACGGGGCGCCGCGAGGGAGGTGGAAAAAGCGAGCCCGTGCCCCCAGCCTCGCTGCGGCCATCGGATCAGTGGAGCGATTTTGTCTTTTAAATGATTTTCTTCTGGCCCGCATATATTGATTTATTTGATAGGCGACACCAGCCGTTAAACATATACATATACAACTCCAGAGCGTCGGTAATTACTCATTAAAACAATGGACTCTCGTTTTCTCGTTGGGGACAAAATTCCTGCTCGGAATCCGGTCCTGTCCTCTTACGAAAGCTTCGCACTGAGACGTGAAAGCAATTATATACAAACGTCTCTCGCTCTTGGCAGAAGCCGGTTTTAAAGCGGTCCAGAATGAAGCCGTTTCTGAGGTTAATTGCAGACATTTTCGGACAACAATTAATTAAGCCCTATTTAATTGCGATGACGTAGATTTAATTGTAAATCTTCTGATAACTACGACAGGGAAGCTACAGGACTGTCACAGGTTTTTGTTTCCAGGGTTTTGTGTTTTAATTCTCAGTGTGCGTCTATACTCCACTGTGATGTGCGTGCTGGGATGGGACAGGCTTGTCACCGGTCAGTGATGACCAAAACGCGGGTCGAGAAATGTTCTCTATTCCACGCGAACTCGCGGGACGCGTCCTCGCGTTTATTTACCATCCTCTGCTGGGGGAGAAAATTCTAGTTAACGAATTGTTCTTTATCCTCCACCTCACAGCTGAACTGTGAAAACGGAGAGGGTTCTGGCCGAGTTTATCCGCAGTGCTCCACGCGTGCTCCACATCCGTCTTAGGAGATTCCTCTGAAAATGGCACGTGTCAGAATATTTTTATTCGCCGGTCGAGTTTGAAAATATGAATAATTGGAATTTGCCCCAGGTGAAGCTGATATCGTGACCGATCCAAGTCCTCTAATTTCTGCGTGTGTTCCTATGTTTGCACCTCCATCTAAATATGATTTTTTTTTTTATATCGGCATTTTTGGACTCATTACATGATCCCCAGAACAAGCGCAGTGTTATTAATTCAGAGGGCCGGGACGAAACGAGAGAGAGTGGGAAATGCATCCATCGATTTCAAAAGGCTTTATGGTGACAACAATCCCCCCCCACCAAAAAAAAAAACCCAACATTCTTCGGTGGTGAAATCCTGTTTTGGGGTCTTCGGGGGTGGAAGCCCACAGCGGCGCGAGGAGGAAAGGGTGGCAGATCAAAGTCACGAGCAGCGATGACGTGGCGAGAAACCTCGGAGAAGAAAATGAAGGAGACTCAATTCTCCCGTGACAGTGCACCGCGGGGCTCTAGAGAGAGAGAGAGACGGGGCAGGGGTGGCGTCAAAGCTATGTAGAGGTGATCACATTTTTTTTATTTATTTCCAGAATCAAGCCCTTTCGCTGCGCGTTGAGGATTTTCTGGACAGGCGGGTCACACATTTATTTTTCTTTCTTCAGTCCATTTTCGCTCCACTTTAAATCCCCTGCCAGCCCAGCCAAATGTTGTCAACACGCAGATGTGTCGCGGGCAAAATAAAAAAAAAAACAACAACAGCAACATTTTGCACGGTACATCAGTGTGTGGAGACGCGAAGGGAAGTCTTAATAAGATAGAATAATTCAGTCTTCCTCCCCTCAGTAATTGGACACATACGCGCAGGAATTCTGCATATAAAGAGAGAGGTAATAAAAGCTAAACACCAAGACTGCACATTTCGTCTTAAAGGATTATAAAAGAGATTTTCCCGGCCGTATTTATGCATCAGGAGACCGCGGTGTCAATCCCTCCCTTGCCATTTCTAAATTAGTAACAGCTTCTACCCTCCACCCGGGTCCTTAATTCTAAAACAAGTATAAAACAAAGGCGTCATCGACGCCAAGACCTGCTGGGTTTTCCTTCACACGAACGGGCCGTGGATTAGACTCCGGCCGTCTCCCCAGAGCCGGTCCCTGCAGGGCTGCGCGGAAAGGGTTAACCACTGTGAGCCTTATCAGCGCTGCCCAGGCCCCGGTGATCTGGGCTCAGGATTGTTCGACTTAATAGCCTGTAAAAACTCAATCATGAGAAGAAGAGCTGATAGCAGAAAGTGTGTGTGTGTGTGAGGAGGGGGGTGGGCGCTCAGGTAGCGCCGTGTCTCTGCGCCATGAGGTCATTTATTTGTTGAATTTATCCGTTCATTCATTTTGAGGAGTGACTGTAGAATGAGGTTAGGCCAGGGCGGCTTAATAAGACCCAGTCTAAACGGGGGGAGTTGAACAGCGCACAGGTAGAGAGGTGGGGCTCCCTGATTGCTGGGGGGGGTGTTAGAGGAATGGGGTCACCGTTACCGCTACCGCGCGCCGCTCATCCCGGTGCTGAAATTCCGTCTGTTTTCCCAGCGGATGGGGCATCTCCGCGAGACCCTGTCTCTGTGCAGAAGGGTCGTGAGTGGATGTTCGGCCAACCCCTGCTCGTGCTGCAGTACATTGAACCGATCGCCACCTCTCAAGACCAGCCGCGGGCTTAAAACTTCACATTTCACATTTCAATTCCCTCGTTTAAAGAAATCAGGCACCATCCGTTCCATGGTTAAATATATGCACTTGTATGCTTATTTGTTTTTTGTTTCTAAATCCCTGTTTATCGGTTTTTAGCTTATTTTTTATTGTCTTACTCTCCCCTTCTCCCCCCCTGCGTTGTACACCCCGAAAATCTGCGGATCTCGCGGACACGCGGAGTGTCACAATCCGTGAGGGGATCCAGTCCCTTCCCAAAGCGTAAAATGACGTCTTCTTATACAGCGAACGGCGAAGCACGAATCTATAAATGCCGGAAATAATTGCTCTATTATTCGGTGCCCTATTTTCAAGTGGAGCTCGAGGTGGGAAGGGAGAAAATGGAACGAGAGTCTGTGACACGAGCCCCTGAGACGCGGCAGTTCGCGGAAGTGTGTGTTTATGCGGGACACGTGAACTTCGCGTTGACCAGGTTAATAGCTCTGGGTCCGAGTCCGCGGGAGTGAAGGTTCTCGGAGGTCCCCGGGGGGGCCTCACGAGCCAGGACTTAATAGCCTCGTGCGCCCCGGAGCCAGGCGGGCGCGCCTGCAGGGCGTGTGTGCGGGGGCGCGCTCACTGTATACAAAAATCTTTTTTTTTTTAGTTTATTAGGTTTATATAATAGGTTTATAGGTTTTTTTTTTTTTTTTTAGCAGACACAGGTGTCATTGCATGCGTCTGCAAAAGCCGAAAAATGATCAGTAGTGAGGTTTGTTTTTCTGATCATCATCATTTTCCCCTTAAAGCACTCCACGGCTCTGCGGTTTAAAGTTTGGTGCCAGGTAAATCGTTCTGTTTACATGTCCAATTTGGCGAGCAGAAGGATAGAAAATGGGTTTATTTCCCTGCATTGATGTGAAAGCCCTCGACCCTCCTGAAGGACTCTTATCCCCTGGGTTGCTGGGATGCAGCAGATGACCAATCCGTCGTTTCTCGAGGGCTCTCGGTGGTCCTGCCAGCCCCAGTCTTTCCTCTGTTCCTGCCTCTGTTTCCACCTCCACTGGAGTGGGAGGGGCCCTGGGGGTCGTGGCCCACCTCTGGTCCAGCTGCTCGGACTGCACAGCTGTGGCTGCCCCGCTGGGCGACTCTACTGCCCCGCTGGGTGACTCTACTGCCCTGCTCTCAATCTACTGCCCCGCTGGGTGACTCTACTGCCCCGCTGGGCGACTCTACTGCCCTGCTGGGTGACTCTACTGCCCCGCTGGGTGACTCTACTGTCCTGCTCTCAATCTACTGCCCCGCTGGGTGACTCTACTGCCCCGCTGGGCGACTCTACTGCCCTGCTGGGTGACTCTACTGCCCTGCTCTCAATCTACTGCCCCACTGGGTGACTCTACTGCCCCGCTGGGTGACTCTACTGCCCTGCTCTCGATCTACTGCCCCACTGGGTGACTCTACTGCCCTGCTCTCAATCTACTGCCCCGCTGGGTGACTCTACTGCCCTGCTCTCGATCTACTGCCCCACTGGGCGACTCTACTGCCCTGCTCTCAATCTACTGCCCCACTGAGCAATTGCACTGCCCCATTCGGTGACTCTACGGCCCTGCTCTCAATCTACTGCTCAACTGGGCAACTTTACGGCCCTGCTCTCTATCAACTGCCCCACTGGGTGACCCTGCTGCCCTGCT